GAGAAGAGTTGAAAATGTTGCTGAGGTCTTTGGTCTGAGTCACTGCAAGAACAGAGTCGTCTGAACCTAGGAAACCCTGGTTATGGGGGAGGGTGCCAGGAACTCGGTTCGGGACATGTAAAGTCCAGGGGACAGGCCAAGCAGGCATGTTGATCAGAGAGTCACCAATTTTTACTAACAAAAATATTTGCACAGAAATCAATGGAACTGAAAACAAGAAACTAATAGAGAAAATGAACAAAACACAAGTCAGTTCTTTCAAAAGATCAATAAAATCAATAAGCCTCTAGTCAGGCTAACTAGGGGCAAAAAGGAGAGCAGACACAAATTACTAAGATCGGAAATGAAAGAAAGGACATCCCTACAGATCCGATAGGTGTTAAAAGGATAACTACAAAATACGATGAACAACTCCATGTCCTCACTTTTGATAACCTCGAAGAAGTGGACCAATTCCTTGAAAGGCGTGATCTGCCAAAGCTCACCCAAGAAGAGAGAGACAATCTGAACAGGCCTATCTCTATTAAAGAAATTGAATCAATAACCTTTAAGAACAGAAAGCACCAGCTCAATGGATTCCCTGGTGAATTCTACTGAACATTTGAGGAAGAAATTATACCAGTTCTCTGTAGTCTGTTCCAGAAAATTGAAGTAGAAGGAGTACTTCCTAATACATTCTACATGGCCAGCATTACCCTAATGCCAAGACCAAAGATGTTATAAGGAAAGAGAACTGTTGACCAATATCACTCATGAACATACATGCAAAAATCCTCAAGAAAACTTTGACCAGGAGAACCCAACAATGTATAAAAAGAATTATACACCACGGTCAAATGAGATTTATACTACATGTGAAAAAGGTTGGTTCAACATCAAAAATCCATTAGTATAATCCATCAGTAGGCTAAAAAAAGTCATTATCATCTCAATGACAAAATCCAACACTTATTCATGAAAAAACTCTGGGTAAAGTGGGAATAGAGAAGAACTTACTCACTTTGATAAAGAACATCTACAAAAAAAACTATTAGTAACATCATATTTAATGGTGAGAAACTCAAAACTTTCTTACTAAGATCTGGAATGAGGGCACGGTGTCTCCTGGCACCACTGTTAGAAGTTCTAGCTAATGCAGTAAGAAAAGAAAAGGGGAAAATGTATACTGATTAGTAAGGGAGAAATAAAACTTTTTGTTCACTGATGACATGATCATTATGTAGAATTCCAAAAACAATTCAACAACAACAAAACCCCTCCCCTATATAGAAATTCCAAAAAAAGTTGACCAACCCCCCCCACCCAGGGAATTAACAGGCTATTACAGAAAATTTGCAGGGTGCAAGGTTAATGTGTAAAAATCAGTTGCTTTCCTAGATATAGTAGCAGGAAAGAATGAAAAGAATTTGATATTAAACACATGATACCATTTATATTAGCACTCTCCCCAAAAGAAATACTTAGGTACAAATCTAACAAAATATGCATGGTCTATATGAGGATCTATATAAGCAAAAGTACAAAACTTGGATGAAATATATCAAAGAAGAAGTGAACAAATGGAGCAATGTTTTATGTTTATGGATAAGAAGACTCAGTCTTTTCAAATGTTGTTTCTTTCCAACTTGGTAGATAGACTCAATGTAATCTCATTCAGGAGCCCAGCAGGTCATTTCATGGATATTAACAAACCGAATCCGGCGCTTACATGGAGAGGCAGAAGACCCAGAATCACCAGCACGGTATTGAAGGAGAACAAAGCCAGAGGGCTGACGCTGCCTGATTTCGAGGTTTCCGGGAAAGCCGCAGTAGTCGAGGCAGTGATGTGTCAGTGAGGGGATAGGTAGTCCCTTCGATGGAACAGAACAGAGCCCAGAAACAGGCCCAACTACACGTGCATGTTGTCAGCTGATCATTGGCCAAGAAGCAAAGACAGTACCGGGGCGAAGATAGTCTTTTCAACAAATGGAGCTGGAACAATGGGCATCCACATGCAAAAATAGATAAATAAATAAACCTAGACACAGACCTTCCGTCCTTCACAAAAGTTAACTCAAAACGGATCATACACCTAAAGGTAAAGTGCAAAACTCTACAACTCCTAGAAGAAAGCATAGGATGAAATGAAGATGACCTTGGGGATGGCAGTGACTTTTTAGATACAACACCAAAGATGTACGTAATTCACGAATGAAAAATTCAGAAGCTGGACTTCATTAAAGTGAAGCAACTTTTGCTCTGAAAGGCAAGTTAAGAGAGTAAGAAGACAGGCCACAGACTTGGGGAAAATATCAGCAAAATACATATCAGATAAGGACCGTTATTCAAAACGCGATGATAAGAAAATGAACAACCTAATTTTAGATCAGTCAAAATACCTGAGCAGATACCTCACCAAGGATGATGTACTGATGTCCAAGTGAGTATGTGAGAGGATGGCCAACGTCACATGTCATTACAGAATTGCAAATTAACCCAAAGGCGAGACACCACTGCACACCTCTTATAACAACCAAAATCTAAAACGCCGACACCACCAAACGCAGGTGAGAATGCGGAGCAGCGGGAACTGTCACTCCCCATGCGGGAGACACAAAAGGGTGCAGCCACTTCGGAAGGCAGTTTGGCAGTTCCCTACAAAACGAAAGATACTTTTACCATATGACACACCAGCCACTGTTCTTTTGCTATCTACCAACATAAATTGAAATCTTATGTCCACAAAAACAATCTGCGCATGGATTTTTATAGCAGCTTCATTCATAACTGCTATAACTTGGATGTAACCAAGACGCCCTTCAGCGGGTGAATGGATAAATAAACTGTGGTACATCCAGACAGTAGAATCTTCCTCGTCACTGAAAAGAAACGAGCCACCGAGACATAAAACACATGGAGGAAACTTAAATGTGTATTATGAAAGGAGCCAATCTGGAAAGGCTACATACTGTGTAAATCCAACTATATGACACTGGAAAAGGCAAAACTATTGAGTCAGTAAAAAGCTCAGTGGTTGCCAGGAACCAGGGGGAAGGGCGGGTTGAGTGGGTGGAGCACAGAGGATTTTTAGGGCAGTGAAGTGGCCGCATGGTACTGGGATGGTGGGTACCTTCGCCCCAAACTGTGGGATACACAACCCCAAGAGTGAAGCCTGATGTTCACCACTGGCTTCGGGCGATGACCACAGCACAGTGTAAGGTCATCGGCTGTAACAGGTGTGGCACCGCGGGGCAGGACGTCGGCTGTGGGGGGGTGTGCCTGTGGGGACGGGGGGACGGGAACTCTGTGCTTTCTGCCCAGATTTGCTGTGAACCTGGAACTACTACTCTAAGACTCAAGTTTGTGAATTAAAAGTAACTGTTTGGAATTTTAAAGCACAAATGAACTATTATCTAGTGACAATCTATTAACCCTAAATATGCAGCAATCCTACATGTGAAGTCAAACTCATTAGCAAGAAATCATATTTCCAGAACAATATGGTTTATTTATATATACAAACATGTTACTACTTATAAAATTTCAGTATCCGAGTTCAGCGACTAGTGCCACTGAATAAAAATGAAGCTCCTTCAGTTAAACTAAGTAATGGAACATCTATTTATAGTAACTAATTAAAGGTCTTTGCAAAGCAGGAAAATCATGAACAGTAAACGGCACCCAGCAAACCGTTCTGTGGATTCCCACCTCCTGGCGACTTAAACTGCATTGCAGTTTGGTCTCACTGGTGACTGGGACTCGGTGATAGCCCAGGTGTCTGCCGGCGTCACTCCTCGCCTGTCACCCTCGCAGGTGGCCCCCAGTGGTACAGAAGTACTTTAATGGGGATGCGCGTTGGGAGCCAGCTCAAAAATAAAAATAAAAAAGCAGAATGGGAGAAAGAAGGGATGGTACTAAGAATACAAGTATGGCAAAGGGAAAATCAAACGACGGTGGGATCATAGAACAGCAGAATAAATTTAGAGCCTAAGGAAGGGGGAAAAAATAGTGAGCAAAGAGAGTAAGAGAGAAGGAAAGATAGCAGTATTAGTACCGTTGGTTGGTGGGAAGCGGATTAAATACAGGAAAGGAAAATAGAACCAAAAAACCAAAGTAGGAACGTTGGGATTTACAACAACGGAGCAATTTACTCTGCGTCATCTCTTCTACTCAGTAACCTTAAAACCCCTGGCTCTGCGGGCAGTTTCACTCCCCAGGGGACATTTGACAAACCTGCGGAGGGTTTGGTCGTCTCGGCTGAGTGGCTGCTGCTACTGGCTGGTGGGTGAAGGCCGGGGGTGCTGCTAAGCACCTTGAGATGCACAAGTGAGCCCCCTTCACCAGGTTAGAGATTGTCACGGGCTAGGAATGGTGGAGGGGTAGGGATGGGTGTGACCGTGGGGCCCAACACGGGGAGATGTTTGTGGTGATGGAATAGCTCTGTGTGCTGATTTCAGTGGTGATTCCGTGAGTCCTCGCGTGGGGTGAAGCGATGCAGAACTGTACACACGTGTTGTGTTGGTGCCACCCCTGGCACAGATGTCGTGCTGTAGACATGAGACGTACATAAGCCTCCGGGCACATTTGGGCCCACGAGACCTCTCTATACTATATTTGCATCCTCCGTGAGTTTATACGTATTTCAGAATAAAAGTTTATGAAAAACAAACCTTAAAAGGAGAAACCAAGAGGGGCCGAACAACCAGTGGAAGAGGTCAATTTAGCCAGGGCAGAGGGGAACGGCGCGCGCGCGCACGCGCGCACACACACACACACACACACACCTCTGTTCAGATCCGTGCGTGGAAAGGACCGAGAAGGCAGCATGCTCCTGGAGCATGGTGCTGAAAACCAGGAGAGCAAACTCATTTGTTGTTAAAATTGACCCATTCGGGTGCCATGCCAGTAAGACATACACACACGCTCCTGGAGGTGGTTCGGTTTCAGCGGAAGACCTCCGTTTGCAAGCTGTCGCAATGTTGTGCCACCTCTAACGTGTTTCATCATATGTTTTGTTGCAGGGGCAAGCAGACCTTTTAAAATATGCTAAGAATGAGACTTTGGAGAACCTGAAACAGATCCATTATGCTGCTGTCTCGTGTGGACTGAATAAACCAGGGACAGAAAATACTGACGTTCAAAAGCCCCGCCGGAGCCTGGAGGTCATCCCCGAAAAAGCAAACGATGAAACGGGAGAATGAGGGAACTTCTAGAAATCATTTTGGAGTTCGTGACTCTAGGACCAATGGCCGTCAAACGGAACTTTGCACTCACTAATGGAAACGATGTTTGGGATCTTAAAAGCACAACTGGAATAGCTAATTACAACCTGTTAAAACTGTGAATGTACTAGCAGTCCGGCGTGTGAAGGCAAATAAACTCTTTGACAAGAAATTATATTCCTGGCCAAAGTACGTGCTATATTTGTATACAAAGACATCATCACTCAGTTCTAGTGCGAACAACAGACTAGTCACTCTAGTTCCATCGAGAAAAAAAAAAGTTTTCCTAACTGGAAATGCTTTCCTTAAAGTCGAAATGGATTGTATTGTCAGATTAGTATTTATTGGAGCAAAACCTAGTCTGCGCATTTTACTTATGTGTGATTGCCAGAGTCTCTGGGCTGTAGATGATTTTGGTGGCATGCCTGCTGAGCCATAATTGCTAAGGAGAATGTAAGTGGACAGATCCCCTGAACCCCCAGGGACCTTGGAGAGCCATCGAATACAAGGAGACGTGCAATTGGACTGAAGCTCCTCGGCTGGAGACATGTGCTGGGTATAATATATATGATGTAAAAGCAGCCAATTTGGAAGCAGCACATTGTAAATAGTTTTTCATTGTATGAAGTAGTGTTCACATTAAAAAGATGTTTTATGATATTTCTCCAATAGCAGTACATGCCTTTAATGAAATTTTAATTTTTTAAATGTTTACTTCAAGATATTCCGCTCTTAAGAGTAACCCATTACTTGGTAAACCGCTTTGTCAAAAATAAGTTGCTTGTCTGGCTTGACACCTGCCTTTAGTGAAGTGTCCACAGCTTTGCACAGTGGCAGCTGACTGTGCAGGGCACTGGGACACCTCTCCCACTTCTCAACTCGCAGTGAAGTGTGCCTTGAAGTGGCATGAACAGTAAGTCGAAGGCTAGAGAAGATGTAGCTTTCATAAGGCTGGCTGGGTTTTTAGCCCAAGTTTTTAACTTTGGGCGATTTTTGCAAAGATACCAAACACTGCAGCCTAATTAGTGCTTCTCCCAAACCAAAATTGCTTTCAAATTTTGGAAGAGTGGAAAAGATCTAAATCTTCACCAGCCCTTCCTTTTTTAAAAGTATATTTTACTGATTATGCTGTTGCAGTTTCCCGATTGTTCCCCCTTTATTCTCCCTCCACCGTTATCCCCCCAACCCTCCAGCATCCACCTGCCCTAGTTCATGTCCATGGGTTGTGCATATAAGTTCCTTGAGTTCTGTTTTCTATACCATTTTTGACCTCTCCCCATGTATTTAATGCCTACCAATTATGCTTCTTCTTTCCTGTACCTTTTTTACCCCCCTACTCCTCCCTTCTCTCTCCCCACTGAAAATTCTCCATGTGATGTCCATTTCTGTGATTCTATTCCTGTTCTAGTTTATAAGGTTATCAGCTGATTTCTCTAAAGAAACCTTAGAGGCAAGAAGGGACTAGAAAGAAGTACTCCAAGTCACAAAAGGCAAGGACCTACATTTAAGATTACTCTATCCAGCAAAGCTATCATTTAGAATGGAAGGGCAGATAAAGTGCTTCCCAGATAAGGTCAAGTTAAAGGTGTTCACCAGCCCCTTTTTGATTATTTCGTTTTCAGTGACTCAGGTATGTGGGCAGATATTGGGTGCGTGACCTTCAATTTATTTCCTCAAGAGTTAGAGAGATGCTCAGGCTAACGTATTTATTTCTGCCCAGACTCTGAAATATCCTCTTAAAAAGACAGCTCCTTTGTGCGGTTCTTGTCACTTGCATTTTAATGTGCATGCGTTAAGGTCTGTGTCCCCAGAGACTCTTCTGTCTTTCCAAATAGAAAAACCTATCACTTATTTGAATAATAGTGCGGTTCCCTGCACACCCCAGCTAACAGGCAGCCAGTCAGCAGCTTAGGCTCTTAGCTCTGAAATGAACTCCACGCGGGACAGAAAAAGAATGGAAAATAACAAAGAATTTAAATTGGTTTTGTAGGTTGAGGAATAAAATAGATTATCATCAGCAATCCTTGAACTTCACTGGCAAGAAAACAACAATATTCAATTTAAAGTGAAAATCCACAAATCATAAAAATATAATGAAATTGAAAAAATGCTACATTTATGTAGTAATGACAAGCGTTGTCTCCTCCATGACTTGAACAACTCAGAGCAAGTTACAAGTAGTTTATGTCAGGGCACCGGGCTTAGAACCGGTGACTAGAACTGGAGTCCATGACATTTCATCTGCCACCTTTTCAGAAAAACAGATGTCTTGCCCGATGTCACAAAACCTGTTCAGGGGCAGTGTTGGCACTGGACCCAGCCCAGAGTTGGCTTTGCTTTTCCTTGCTAAAAAAATTGTCCCATATCTTCAAGGACTAAGGCGGGTGATGGGAGACACAGACGTGGATTGCAGGGTTTCCCCAGTTCGTCTAGACCCGGTCCCATCCTCCTGAGATGATCAGCGAGGCGCACATTCAGGGGGAATGGGAAACATTCGTCCAGTGGGCAGGGGCCCATGTTGTAAGCAGCTTTCTCTTCCAAAGAAAACTTTGTAAACAGTTTCCTCTTGCAACGGACCAGCTGGCCCACTGTGGATTGAACCTGTGGAGGCCTTGTCAAACCCCGCTGGTCAAACAGAAGAGAGACGCCAGCTCCTGACTTGGGGAGTTTGGGGGCAGTGGGCTCGCGCTCTGGCTTCCTGTGGTCACGACGTGTCTGAGACGGACAAGGGGAGGTGGGGACATCCTCTGAAGTTACTGACTGTGAACAGAATAACCCGCCGTCGGTTTCCCCGTGTGTGTGTTCGCCACACCGGACACACACCTTGTGTGTCGCCCCCATTGGGGCAAATGCCTAATGGGAAGCACATGAGAACCACTGGTGAAGCTCTGCCATGGACACGGGAAAGGAAAAGCCGGGCAAAAATGCACGGACAGCGGCGGACAGCTGGTCTGTTCAGTGGGAAATGGAAGCCACGCGGGCAACACGCAGGTGAAGCCCCGTGCGGGGTCCCAGCAGTCGGGTTGGCGTCTGGCCGGCGAGGAAACCCCGAGGCTTCTCCGCTGCACGAGGGGCGTTTCGCCTCCGCTTCGCACCTGCTCATCATCTGCAGCTGAAGCCGTTTCAGGTGCTGGTCTGTTTTCTGATTGTGGCAACTATGGCTGGCTCCGGAACCGTGCAGAAGGAGGTCTCTGAAGCCCAAATGCTTTCCTCGCCCACCGCAGGGCCGCGCGGGGAGGGGGCCTCCGGGGTGGCGCCCTAGGCTGTGTCCTGGGGGCGCTCTCCTCCTGCGGGGGGCTGAGGTCGTCCAGCTTGCAGTCATCGCGTGGCCTCGGTCCGTACATTGATAGCGACTCATTTTTCATCCTCACCCAAGGATGCGTTTACTGATTTTAGAGAGGGGGAGAGACAGGGGAGAAAAACACGGACGTGAAAGAGAAAACGGGGACGGGTTGCCTCCCACATGTTCCCTGATAGGAGCTCAACCCGGCAACCTGACCAGGAATCGAACCCGCGAACTTTCAGTGTACGGAACGACGCTCCAACCAACCAAGCCACCCACCAACCAGGCCTCTATTGGATTCACTGAATCACCGAGCATTTGGAAAACTATGAACGCGAATTTTAGCGCCGTAGCAGCCCAGCTGCACGGTACCCACCCGGGGAGCGAGCCTAGGCCCGAGAGCTCCCCCTACCGGCCTCGGCGTCTTCTCACACCCCGGCTGCCGTCTGCCAGGAGCAGACCTCACCCGGGCCAGGAGTGGGAAGACTTCCTATTTGCTACGTTTGACTGGGTCTCTTCGTCGGGACTGTGCCAAGCACTGAGTTCAAGGCACCTTGCATGTTATCTCATCCTCCCAACAACCAGCAAGGTGTTTATGGGGCACTGTAGGTGAAGAAGTGATGACCCAGGCCAAGGTCACAGAACGCTCAAGTGAGGATTTGAACCCGGGTGTGTCTGCTCCAGAGCCCGCGCTCCCAATCGCTTATCTCTACTCTTCTAAATTCCAAACACATGGATCACAACTAAACTATAAGGTGGGTAGAAGTCATAAAGAATAAAGTGTTTTACTCTTTCACATTGAACATGAGCCCCCAGAAGCCACTGAGATACATTCACTCTGATTTTATCGAGCACATTTTAGGCACAAAGGATTCATCACGAACAAAAACAGCATGATTTCAGCCCCCACGGAGCTCACAGTTTAGTTGGGAAGGAAGCGACATTGATCCAAACAATTACAAAGATACAGGGGCGATGAGGAACCACAGGAGGTGCCACCACGAGGCTACGTGGGTTCACATCCTGACCCAGTATAGCGGGCACAAGTGTTCTGAACTCACCTTGTCATGTAAGAAAGACTAAGGAAACGCCGCTTTCCCTCGTGGGATTTTCCGAAGGACTGACCAAGACAGTGTTTGTAAGGCACCAGGTCCACTACCTGGCTCACAGGGGACTTGGTGGGTTTTTACCATTACTATTCTTCAAAGGAGGGTCTGTGGCCCTCCTGAAGGGGGGCCTCCCCGTCCTGAGAGGATGAATATCTGCTGCTCTGAAACACAACCCCGAAACCTAACACAGTCATTATCTCTCACAGTTCTGTGCGTGGCTGGGCTCACTTCTGTGGTTCTTCCGTCGTCCGGGTCTGTCGTGCACTTGCTGGCAGATGTCAGTGGGGGCTGTGGTCATTCAGGTGGGCTGGACATGCAAGATGGCCCCCTCACACGCTGTGGGCAGGGACGCAGAGCATCTATCTGCACGTGGGCTCCCCGTGTCCCGAGAGTGGTCACCACCGGAGTCGGCACTCCAGCAGCCATACGGAAGCTGCAGGTCTTCTTGTGGCTTCTCGGTCCTATTCCTGGAAGTCCCAAAAGGTCACTTGTCCTGCATCCTACTGTTTAAGCAGGTCAGTAAGTCTGCCCAGGGTCAAGAGGGCAGAGAAACTGACTCCTCCTCTTGATGGGTGAGGGGCAAGGTCATGCTGGGGAAGAGGGTATATGGGACAGGAGGTATTGCTAAGACTGCCTTTGCAAAGTACAACCCGCCATAGAGGGTTCCCTGAGGAAGTGGTGTTTCAGCTGAGACCCGAAGGCAGAAATGGACAGGAAGGATGAAGCAGTGAGGGCGATTCAGTAGAAAAAGCGGCAGGTTGCAAACCCCACAGGCGGGAGGGGGTCACCGGGAGGGCTTTGTAGGCCAGGCCGGGGGTTTGGGTCTCATTTGCCTAAAATGTTAGTGCGAAACATTTAATTTTATTATATTTAATTCACCTTTATCAGCTTTCCTTAATTACAAAAGAAATATATGCTGCTTGCTGCTCAAAAGGTCAAATGCTGAAGAATGCCAACTAAAAACTGTGTGTGCCCCTCCCACTGCCGTCTCCCATGCACTGTGGGAAGCGGCCCAGCCAGCGCTTGTCCACGGTCACCTTCAGATGCCACCAGAAAAGGTGTCACTCTGTTTAAGAATCACAGAAATCAAATAATTGACATTTAAGGAGGAAAGCTACGAACTGGAAGGTGATAAACAGCAATTCAATTTTATGAACTAGGATAATTTTGTGTTTTATGAAAACCACTGAGATTAGTTAGAAAATAGGGATTAATAACACTTGTCTAACTATGACTATTAGAATTTACAAGAACAAATATCTTCCCTT